AGTCAAATTTCAGTTATACATTATATATGTATATAGATTATTGCTATTTTGAAATAAGTTCTTAACCTTATTTTTCTTAAAACAGTAACTAAAGGAGTAAAGCAAACAATTATCTCTTCTAGTTATGACCTTGATTCTCAGTTGCTGCTTGACGTAGGTTGCTAAGCCTTTAAACAAATTGCACATGGAAGATATGAAACAAAATTTTTTTTTTAGTTTTTATATATATATATATTTGAATAAAATCATAAATTACTATAATTTATCAAGCTTAGTAACTAAGATGTATTTTAGTCTAAAAAATATTAAATTTCGAGCAGACTAAAGCTACACCTTACCTGGTTGAAATATTGGTTCAAATAAAAGAATTGGTACCCAAGCCCGTTAAAATGTCTGAGAAAGCCGCTAGGGGGTATTCTGAGCTTCTGATTAGTTATTCATGTCATATACAGAAGTATGTGTATATAAGGGAGCATTTCCAAAAATGGAAAAAGGTGGATGGGGTACCACTGTTTTTGATTTATTACATGAGCAATATCTTAACAAATTGAAAAGATAAGAGGCAGTTATTTTATATTCTAGCTTGTCAATATTGGTAATTTGAGTTTCTTATTCATTAAAAACTACAAACTTAGTATTTTGACTTCACAAACATCTAATTTGAACCAGTGTCAATATACCACGTGACACACAAAAATCGACATTTATCTGTGTTTTTTTTATATGTGCTTTTAGATTAAGAAATTGAGTAATATATAGTACTAAAATTTGAATTATAATCTACAATTTGATACCAAACTTATTGACATAAATTCATGAAATAGTAGTTCAATAAAATTTTGAATGCGAGTCAACAAATGAGGTGATATGGCCTTTCACCCGTGACCCATTTCGAAAGGGTTAAAGCATCAGTAAGCTCCATTACTGAAGAGGGCCATCTTGGCCTTGCCCTACTTCTGCATTCCAAAGATGTTCTACCGGGTTAATGTCAGAGCTCTGTGCTACCCACTACAATGTTCCAATCTCATTCTCTTCAAACCACGTGTTCACAATCCTTGCTTTGTGACATGGAGCGTTATCATGTTGGAAGGTATAAGGGCTGGTACCATAAAATTTCCACAATGTAGGACACACAGAATTGTTCAGAACATCAATGTAGGACTCAGCATTCATGAAACCATGCACTGTGACCGGTGTACCTAGTCTATACATGAGAAGTGCCCCCAGACCATAATACCGTCACCTCCAAACTTCACTGTTGGGACAACACACTTGGGTAATAAGAGTTTTATAAGCATCCTCCATACACAAACACATCAGACTGGTAGTGTTTGTAAGTGTGACTCGTTGCTCCACAGGACCGATTTTCATTGATCCGCAGTCCAGGTTTGGTGTGCCTTGCCCCATGCCAAACGACGGTGTGCATTTGTTTTTGTTATCAACGGCTTGTGGGCTGCAGCTCTTCCATAAAAATTCATGGCATGCAGCTCTCGACGTGTCATGGAAACACTTATAGGTTTGCCTGTGGCTGCTCGCATCTCCAAACACAGATTCTCTAGGGTCTGACAGCGAGATGAGGTAACCAGCCTTCTCAAGGTGTGTCGGCTCCTGTCAGTCAGTATTTTACACCTACCTGGTTGTTTCTTGGACTTGTTGTCACCTGTGGACTTCCATTTCTTCAGCACATTTCCAAACTGGGAATGTTTAATTGTTCCAAAATAGCACATACAGACATTTTCCCCAAATGACATCCATCTATCCTTCCCCTCTGAAACTCTGTTAGCTCTTTCTGAGTATTTATCGTTCAGTGTACAGGTTGGAAATGACTTCTGAGTGAACTGCTGATCACTCCTAATAACCAAACTATTTACATAGTTTGTCACATCCATTTTCCTGTAATCAGATAGTGTATGTTTAGCCCTAGAATGATGCATATTTAAACTGTAACAATGGCAAATAGAAATAAAAAATAAATGGAAGTTTAGCTTATGTTTGGATTTACTGGTAAGTCAGTACAGCATACCAAGACACTTCCTTTCTCCAATACAGATCTGATTTTTTTTATTGCGACACATAACAGCAGTGATGAAACACAATATTAAGGCAAACAGGATCTCACAACACAAATTATAAATAAGATGGCTAATGAATATCAAAACTTCAAAGTAAGGTAGCATAGTGATATGATGTAACCAATAGGTGTGATTTTCACTTCTAAATTTTGTCTTAAAATTTTATTACAATGGTAAAAGCTTTAAATGTTTAAAAAAACAGATGAATTTAAGATAATAATTCTGTTAAAGACATAAAAATATGTATTTAATTACAGCTTCAGACTCTTGTCTTTAACAATTTTATAGAGCAGAACAAAACTTGCCTTGACACAACGATGTTATCAGTAAAAAAAATATCTATTTATACAGAAAGAACAATTTCTATCATCAAAATATTCTATGTGTGAAAACAGTGTGACTAGTTTTAGTCTGCATTGTATTGAAATTCTAAGTTGCATGACTACAAGCCTGCATAAATGTAACTTATATGCTAATGAAACTAAAGTATTTACATTTAAAAGCAGAAAAACCTCAAGAATTGAATCAAAACCTGAACAAAAAATATTATTACTAAATTACAAAGTTGACTATACCAAACATGTTTGGGTAGTATTATAGCATATGATCTACAAAGATATTTACAGTATAGTGTGTAGACTACACAGATACTATCATTATCATCATTTTAACTTTCATTTATTATAAAAAAAAACACTTTTAAACTAATAAAGTACAAAATAACATTACATAATGTTTTAGGGGCAAATATAATAAGAATGAAATAAATTCCAATAATCAAAACTAGCACAATTTAAGGTACTCTTTTGGAACACACAACTTATTAATATTTGTTGAACAAAAACGTGGATAGATATAAATTATTTAACAAGAAATTTTGAATCATTAAAATGGTGATGATGATGATAGTATCTGTGTAGACCACATGCTATAGTGTAAATATCTTTGTACACTGCATGCTATAGTAGCACTTCAGTTTCTTTACTGCCACAACTGTGTAGAGAAACAATCTGTTTACATTAATGAATTATATACATAAAATCACATAATAATACAATTCTTTCATTTATCACACACAAAGATAAAATTTGTGGCCTTACTTTTTAACTGACTTTAAAAACCACATCAGTTTAACTGCTATAAAATATTTGTTCTATAACTTAAACATACATTAACTGATGACGTTATTTTTGCTTTTCTTACATTTTATTCAAAATATAGTACAAATCACTGGTAAGATTATGAGGATAGTTACTTAGAAGCAGCTACTTGCTTTTTAAAATGCTTATCATTGTTAGCTGGAATGTAAGAATATACGGCTGGTTATTTATTGCTTTTTAAAATGCTTATCATTGTTAGTTGGAATGTAAGATTATACGGCTGGTTATTTATTGCTTTTTAAAATGCTTATCATTGTTAGCTGGAATGTAAGATTATAAGGCTGGTTATTTAGTTATATGCTCTTAATGTTTGAAAATATACAAATTTAAAAATGGGAAAAAGCTTTAACTTTCAGAAAAGGCTAAGCCACATCAAATTAGTTATTTTAAATTTCATTGTTTTGTCTAAGTGTAATTTTTTAACTGTCAAGAGTGGATTAATAAAACTTTCTCTACCAACTGTTCAAATTGTAGTTTATAAAATGTTAAGCATGTGATTTTCATGCAGCTATTGTAAATATAAACAATGAAGAAAAACAGCAAAATTCTAGATTTCTGGTTAGTACTATATCTGATTAGATCATTTAAAAACTACTTCTAAGAAAAGTATATTCAGTGAAATATTTAAATAAAGGACGGACTTTAATTACTCAATCATTCCAATATGTTTAAAGCAGAAATCACACGTGAAAATACAAGATTTCATTCAAGTCATATCCAGTAGTACAGAAGGCACTTCCCAAGTTGTTGACAAAACATCCACCACATAGTTGTATGTTAGTAATGTTACAGCTGGACTTGTAGCTCACCTATAGACAGAAAAAACAAACTGAATAAATAGAAATTCACCATCTAACACCACATAGTTGTATGTTAGTAATGTTACAGCTGGACTTGTAGCTCACCTATAGACAGAAAAAACAAACTAAATAAATAGAAATTCACCATCTAAAATCTTGAATTCAACATAAGCACTACTGGGGTACAATAACATATTTGCAATTGTATCATTTGCAACGAATCTTCATAACTAGAAGTTATTTATCTCACATGCTAGTTACAATTAATCAAGACATTTTTGATCAGAAACATACTGATCTCATCCATCACACTAAAGTATTGCTAATATTATATCAAAAGTTAGTTTCTGTAACATACACTAATTATGTAAACATGTTTTATAGTAATTCACTATATCTTAAGGTTTACTATTTTTTGTAATAGAAAAGGACTGTGTTGAAAACTTTGTAAAGTTGTTTAGTACATGTTTGTGATTAAAGTTATGGTGCATTGAATTGTCTTTAGTGTTTGAAAAGCATAAAAATAACACATATGGTTGTATTGATTACCCCAGAGTGCAAGTTAGCACAGTTTAACAATAACTTCTAAGAATTTCTTTACAAAAGAAACATTTTAGACTTGCTTGACAATACAGGTCGTTCTGTACACCGAACCTCAAAGAAATACACTTAATTTGTTAAAAAAAAACAGGGTCATCTTATACACCGGCAAATAAGTATGTTAAGCCCGATGTATTTCACATTACAATACAGAGGGTAGTTACTTTATAAAATATTGCACATATTAATGGAGTGGCATATCTTTGAAAACCATACACTTGATTCATGGTGAAATATGGACTATCTGACAGTGCAATACCATCAGGATAGACTCAAACCGGATAAACTATTAAAGCCTTTTCTAAGGAAGGATTATTGCTCTTGTTTTGTTGACTTTTGTGCAATCTACTTGAGGGCTATCTGCACTGGTTGTCCCTAATTTTGAAATGATAGACTAGAGGGAAGGCAGCTAGTCAACAACACCCACTTCTAACTCAATGACTACTCTTTACCAAAGAATAGTGGGGTTGATTATAACCCCCTCCTGGCTGAAAGGGTGAGCATGTCTGGTGATGGGTTTCAATCCCATGACCTAGGCCATATAATGAGATTGTTGAATGATGTAGAGGGACAGATTTTGAAGAAGGAGAGCATTCTATGTTTTTAATGAAAATGGAAAACTCAGAGCATTGTTTATGGAGGCTACAAAATCATGTCCTGTCTCAACCTGGAGCAATACTCACCTGCAAAATGAAGGCTATGGGCATAAAAAAAAACCTTTGGCCCAAAAAGGCATTGTGATAAACCTGGGTATATCTCCTAATACATTAACAAGATAACAATAAGAATTTGAAGTTGATAGAGGCTCGTAAGCCAAAGGTTTACAGTCTTTCAGTAACATCTTAAAATCAATGGTTATTTTCATGAGAAAGATGGTTGAAGAACCTGGAGTCGCATTTGATGACAACTGTCAAGGGCAGCATGTAACTTGGAACATCACGTATAAAAAATGAAACAAATTCACAGTAACATTTTTTTAAAAACAGAATAATTACAGTAACTTGTTCTAATAGATCAATAATTAAAACTTTCTTGATGGTGAAATAAATACAAAAAAACACCATAATTATTTATTTTAAATTTCATAATATAAAAAACAGAAATATAAAATTGCAAAGAAATACGCTGTCTTAAATATATTAATATAAAGCAAGTAGCAATTTCTGTTTAAGATTTGAAACTTTCAAACTAACCCATTTTAATATTGAAAAAAAATCTCACCACAGGTGATCCATCTTTTTTTAATTGCCAGACACGTACAAATGAGTCTTCTGAGACAGAGATAGCCTGAATAAAAAATGACAATTACAACCAAATGGAATAGAAAAACCAATCTTCTGAAACTGACAGGGTGTAGAGATGGGGAAAAAACAGGCTCATTATAGGTTTTCTAGACATAAAAGGAGAGTTTCCAACAGTCTCATTTCGACAAGTATAAGAAATATAGACACTTTTCAACTTTATAAGAACTACTGCAAGAATACAATTCTGAATAGAGAAACAAATTAGGAATTTTGAGTACTAAACTAATTTTTGTTTACAAATCTGGTCCTTATTTATTAGCATTAATAAACTGAGATATATATATGTGTGTGCTTTTTTTTACTAATTCTAAGATAAGACATGAAAGTTCCAGTCTGCCCAGAACAGTTAAACTTTTTGTGAAAGGTTTCAAATCAAACTTCTTATTATAAGATGAACAAAATCTTTAGTAAACATCATAACATAATCAATGCATGTCAAAGAAACTTACAAGTCCACTCTCTAATGCAATGTCCACGGCTGTTATCCAGGAGGCATGAGCCGTTATTTCTGCTCTTCTGATTCCTGTAGTTATGTTGAAGAGACGTATGTGTCCAGATCCATACCCCACCATAACCAGTTCTTCCCAGCATGCAATGCTTGTAGCTGGTGACCTGTTGACAGTGAGTTCTTTGAATTTGTTTGGTTTTTACCAGTATCATGATTTCTTTTTAACAATACAGAAAAATATACTCTTTAAAACCAGAAAACATTTTATTATCTTACATGATTAAAAACAAAACTTGTGACTATTTCATACTCACTGGAAAGACTCCAGTTCTTTCACTTTTTTAAGAGTAGTGCTGCCTTCCCACACCACCAGATTTCCATGATCATCTCCACTGATCAGAGTCTGGCCTTGCCCACAAAGATCTGAGATTGCTGCAGGATGATAGCGTACCTTGTCTACGTAGTTTAAAGTATTACTTTCAGCAGGCATACTAAATATCAGTACACTACCATCATGGGTCCCTGAAAAGAACAGATTTCAACTAAACATGTCCTGGAGTTCCAACAGCAAACTTATTGTGTACAGAATTAAAATATAAGCAAACTAAATATCAATAGTAGTTGCATTCTGTTTCAGCTTCAAATACATAGAAAAGTAGTCGTACAAGTTGAAGTTACATTGCAATGACAATAAACTAACAAAAACATTTCTGACAGATAAATTCATAACAATCACTGATCTAGATCTCATAAAACTGTTTGTACATTTCAGGGTTGATTAGCATTTATTTATCAAAATCATTAGTTTTTTTTACTTCAATGACAATTTAACAACATAAATTCATCCTTCTCATCTTCAGAGTTAAAACAGAATAGTAAAAAGTACAAGACACCTTATCAGTTTCAAAGTTTTGTTTTAAATTACAAAACACAGCATGTGAAGTAAAACTATTACAAGCATTTTAAGAAGTTATGAAGGAAGGTCTCTTTTTTCCAAAACCATATGGTTTACTAGGTCTTACAAGTAAATAGCAGACGAGATACAGTACAGAAGTTTTATTATACAAACAATGGTTTCCAGAATTTTTCCTCACAAGACAGATATAACTTATTTCATGGATATTGTAAGTGGTAACTGTGTTAACTTTATTACACTTAGAAACTCTCGAGATACACAACAGTATACTATCTTATAAACTGTTTTGAGAGACACTAAGCCAATTCTAGCACAATCATGCTAACTACTTATAATAATTCACCATCAATATGCACCATTTCACTTGTAGTATAATAATATTACAGACATTCAACAGTTACACAGTCTAGGTAATGAAACGTTTGACATCCTGTCTAGTATTTCTTTATAGAGGAAATGTTGTGTTATGTATAACTTTAAATATCTAATTCTCTCCTCATACTCTATTAAGTGCATCACCAAGTTACAGTTCAGATTTTCTCTAGTTACCTCATCTCTTAAATCTCACAGGCCATCTTTAGCTATTTTCAGTTGATTTAATACCTATCTCATTAGCTTGGTCATAACTTATACTTGCCTATAAGTAGTTCTTGTTAATGTTTTAGTAAAGTACACTCACCAACACACAGAAGGTTTTGTCCACAAGCAGCTATACCTCGGGCAAACATTTCTGGAAATACACAAGCACCAGTCATTTAAACTGAACTTGTGATGGAAAGCTAGATGAAGACTAGTATGTCTAGGAGCTTTTTTTAATAACACATCACAAGATTCGCTTTTTCTCTATACAAAAGAAAATACCTTTTTGTGTACGTGTGTGTGTACAGACACATGTAGCTTATTAACAGAAGCTACATTTTAGAAGCATTTAATCTGTAATACCAATTTTACATGGGAATACTAGTGAACTGACATGTAACATGTAAACTGATGTATTTTAGACATGCAGAATGTTTTCCAGAGGAACAAAAGTGAACTGAAATATTTTACAGACATGTGGAGAAGACAATTTTACAGAAAAATATGTAAATTGATGTATTTTAGACATGCAGAAAATGTTTTCCAGAGGAACATGAATGAAGTGAGATGTTATTTTCTTAATCTGAAAATGTATTTCCAAACATACTTACCTTCACTGACACTTATAGCTATCTCCATCTTTGCCATCTAACATTGTGTTCACTTGCTCCAGTCTTTATATTACCCTACTCGACGGCCATCGGCAATATCTAATTTGCAAAACTTTACAACGGCCCTCACATGCTCTCTATGTAGGTACTGTATATAAGCACTGTATGCAGACAATAAAATCACTTTTTCGAGACTTACCCCATCCTGGTCACAAACACCAGCACTTAGTGGGGAGGAAGGGAGGGAGAGTGTCAGCAGAGGTAAGTATGTTTGGAAATAAAATACATTTTCAGATTAGGAAAATGATAACTTCCAAAACATACATACCTCCGCTGACACTCATAACTAGAATCCCACATTGAGAAGGCTGAGGGGGCAGTGAGGGCATCTGCAGAGAACAAAGGTGTACCATGAGTAGTGGTACCGAAGTGGGAAACACAGATCTACATCCAGAACAGGTATGCTCTTCACCCAGAACTATGGAAAAGTGAAAAGGATAGAATATGACACAAGTATGATGGGCCAGCCCTAACCACATGGCTGAGGTTCCATGACTTTGAGCTGGATTTAAAGGGTCATGGTACCCATATCCCACGTTGGTGGCAAGGGCAGTTGGACAGCAAATATATATATATATATATATCTTTGTGATAGGATCCCCACCACAAAATGATGTGTTTCAAACAACTGGATTTATGAAAGAAAGAAAGCATCACCAAAGTGGACAATCCTTCTGATCAACCTGAAGAAATCCAAAAGGCAACATCCCAGGCCTGGATTGATGGGATCATATGCCATACTTCACCCAAGGTACAGAACTCATCCGGTCTGGATTTACAAACAGTCATCTTCACTCCCCAAGAAGTGGGCAAGGAGAATTCACTTACTCGTGGAATTATGGAGAGGATATTGAACACTGTCCCACCAAGGGCCGAAGATGGGACTGTGTTGCATTCAGATTTTTGAGGAGATAGCGGACCCCCTGCATGAACAACCTAAGACCTGACAGTGTTCATAAGAGGGTCCAAGCACACCCCCCACCAGATAGCTGTGTCAAATCTGGACCAGTTTTATGAGTAGGCTCCCATGTAGGTTGGTTCTGCTCCTACCGACATCTGGGAAAAATTTCCAGAGACCCATGTAGAAGGGTTCCCAACTTTGCCCTCTTCTCTGAAAGTGGAGAAAACTCAACACTCCAAAGAAGAATTTTCTGTCCACCACCCCAGCAACTGGGAACTGGGTGTGGTAAGGACTCCCTAACTCCACTAGTAGAAGTAAGGGGGGACATGTGTGGTGGGGAGGGCAGAGGAACAGGTCTCCGAAAACAGTGCAACAGGTGAACCACGTTCCCTAAGTTTTTAAAAGCCAATCGATCTTGACTGATATATCTCTAAGATCAGCAGGGACTGGCAAAATCCCCTTTAGCTTTACTCATGATAGTCCATGAGTAGCAGGCCATTGGATAGTATTTTGATATAATATCACCATCGAAAATTGCATCCAGATTGCCTTATAGAACACCTCAATAGTTGATAGTGCGGAATTTAAAATACAAGCATACCTGACTGGGCAACACTCGCCACTGAGTGGGATCCAAAAGAAATAAAGAGGGACCCTAGAAGAAAAAGATAAAAAAAAAACTGTAAGTCAGGTAAGAAAGTTACCTCCTCGTTAAAATCTAGCAAAGGTAATCAACACAGCCACAGGGGGAAGATGAAATCCCACCAAAGAGGAAACTGCCAGATCATGAAGGTAATGAGATATGAAAGTGTCAGGAGAAGTCCACATACCAGCCCACAAAATGTCCTCCAGAGATCCCTTCAGCTGGGCAGCCAATGAGATCAACAGATGCCAAATCTGGTGAGAGGTGACGAGAAGCATATTGAAATTGTTAACAGATAAGCCCAAATAGGCTACATGGATCAACTTCCGAAGCCACCTGGTTAAAGTAATGGATGATAAATCCCTGGACACTGCAGTATCCCAGTGAATAAAAAGCCAGTTCCTTGGGCCCCAAAATGGTTCTGTACAATCCACATAACATCTAAGTGCCCTAACGTGACATAATAAAATGATCCAGGTCTGATCGACTGTAAAGATGAGAAATGCCTGGCAAATGAATAGGAGAAAAAGATTTGTTTCCTTCTCTAGCAGCAAGAGTTTTTGGGAGAAATGATTGATTGGGAAAGAGCAAAACATAGTGGAATGATAGAGAGTCTGCTGAACATGAATGACAAATTAATCAAAATGGCGGCTTCCGAAATATACTTTGAGGGAAAAGTGATATAATGAACAGGAGGCCATAGGTTCGAGAAATAGACATAAATAGAATCCTGTATGAACGGAATCGACCTTCTCAATGGCCTCGTTTGATGAACAGCTCCTGAATGGCCTAGGAATGAAGGTCTGCACGTCTGAGGTCTGAAGGAGGAGAAAAAAATGACTGGATGGCAGAACAGAGGAGGGGAGAAGTAAACTGAATATCGAACCTCAAATCCAGCACTCTGAGAACCCAAGGATCGATAGTGAAGGAATGCCAAATGTAATGAAAGAGATTTAATCATCCTCCCACAGGATTTGGGAAAATAGGTAGTTGCTCACGCCACTAGCGCTGTCGTGATCTGTCCGAAGATACCACAGAATATGGACAGAAACGATTTTTAGAACCAATGGGACGAGGCATTGAAAGAGGGGGCCATGAGACGTGAATGGACGATCCTACAGAAGTACCCATTGGAGTAGAAGAGAGGCGAGCAGCCAACAACGATAAAGGATACTGCGAACGTGCCATATAAATTCAGGCTTCTAAGGATTCTCGAATTCCAGCAAACAAGTAAGGCCAAAGAAAAGGTGCCTCCCGTAAATCACGAAGATCAATAGATGACAAACAAATACCCTCCAATAAGGCATCACAACTCAATAAGTCCCAGCAACAGACCAACAACGACACAGAGGAGAGGCCTGAAGAGGGCAAAGGCATCATAGTAGTAACCAGTAAAGGGCCCAGTTCATCGTCAAATTGATGAGGAGAGCGGTGATATGCATCATACAAAAGATGAAGGGAAGAGAAGTATCGTAAAACAGTAGTAAGATTCAAATGAATCCACAAAAATTGAGACCTGTTAAGAGTGGTAACAAGTTCTAACCTGGAACTCCATAGATCCAATAATGGATCCAACTGTTGAGTGTCCAAATATACATCATCCTGATGATGATAAGCCAAGGCATGTTGTTCAGATAAACGAGGGAGAAAAAGCATAGTGACACCCTCATGTAAACCTCCCTGTATGCACAGCAATATCAGGGGAAGGAGGAAGAACTAACTAATCCCCCTGAGATTGATAAAACAACAAGGCAGGGGTAGACTCAAAAGCAATGGGGTTAATCCCCAAAATTTTACAAACTCACTTAACTAACTGCAGAAAAGGGGCAGAAGGTGGCTGATCAGATGAGCCCTCAGTAGAGGGAGTCCTAGTGAAAGAAGGAGCAGGAACAGGGAGTCTAAATTCTCCCCAGAATATTCAGGTTCATGATGAAAATCCAAATCAGAACCTCCTGGGAAGACACCCCTGGGCCACATGAAGGACTCCATTTCACCCCAAATCAGGTCACAAACAACTTATATCAAGAAAGCTGGTGTAAAGTTTTGAAATTAGATATTGCCAAGGGCAGTCGAGTGAGGTATATAAAGACTGGGGCAAGTGAACACAATATTATATGGCAAAGTTAGAGATCGAGAAATAGCTATAAGTGTCAGCAGAGGTATGTATGTTTTGGAACTTACAAACATGTGGAGAAGACATTTTACAGAAAAACATGTAAACTGATGTATTTTAGACATGCAGAAAGAACGTTTTCCAGAGGAACACAAGTTAATTGACATATCTTACAGACATATGGAGAAGACATTTTACATATAAACATGTGAACTGATATACTTTAGAAACACAGAAAGGGCGTTTTCCAGAGGGACACTAGTGAACTGACACAGGTTTGATTTCACAATGAATATGTGCATTAACAGTATTTATTCTAACCTTCAGAATATTCTGCATCATCTGTTTCTAGCCGATGCCAAAACAGTAACACTGTTCCATCCATCTCAAATACCTGGTGTAAACAGAAATACAGGTTGTAAAAAACAAACAACAAGCAGCAGAATACAGTTCACAAAGACTAGCTAAAGGTTCGAATCACAATTCATTAGATGACCATTACTATAATGAAAAATTATATATAAAACAGGTATATGAGAATATGAAAAACAAGAAAAAGAAATTACAACAAATTTACTTAAGGTAATGAGTAGCTGTTTTATAAACTTATTTATTCATTTTCCTACAGGATTCCTTATTCTTATAGATAATTTTAGAAAGTAAGTCTGCTTGTTTCAATAATTCTGATTTCTCCACCACAACACAAGTTAGGAAGATATGCACTTTGTAGTTGTGATAAGTTTTGATTAATATGCATTCTATTTAAGTAGATTGAATGTTAATTTACCACAAAATGATGAAAAACTAATGGGTTCAAAGATCGAAAATTATTATAAACTTTATAATTCAATCTGTAGTGATCAATGAAATGTATAAATATAAATGTGTTTTTTATCCATAAAATAAAGACCTTTTTAACAGGCAGACTTACTTTCTAAAATTATCTATAAGAATAAGGAATCCTGTAGGAAAATGAATAAATAAGTTTATAAAACAGCTACTCATTACCTTAAGTAAATTTGTTGTAATTTCTTTTTCTTGTTTTTCATATTCTCATATAGCTGTTTCATATATATGTTTTATGTTTTATAACTTAATAAATAGTAACCCTGGATACAAAATAATACAACCTTAACTCGCTGATAAATACTACTGCCTTGATGCAAGTCCTATATTTTTAGTGTGAGCCACAAGCACTGACTAAACTGTGTGTGTTCCAATTACATTATATAAAGTGAACAACCTGAATATAAAAATGACTCTTCTAAAATAGTTGTTTTCAGATAATCAAAGTTGCAATACTGCTGCTCAACACAGGATATAGAAATTAATCAACTTTTTAAAATAACCTACCAATAAATACACTTCTTAATATTACTAGTGAATCACAGTAATAATTGGGATGTTACATCACTGCTATTTGAATATTATCATACTATTAGTTCTGAGTACAAGTGTAGAATTCACTTTACTTTAAAAGGAAAACACCACAGAACATAGAGAGTTAGTAAAATAATAACAGAATCTGATAAATACTACTGCCTTGATGCAAGTCCTATATTTTTAGTGTGAGCCACAAGCACTGACTAAACTGTGTGTGTTCCAATTACATTATATAAAGTGAACAACCTGAATATAAAAATGACTCTTCTAAAATAGTTGTTTTCAGATAATCAAAGTTGCAATACTGCTGCTCAACACAGGATATAGAAATTAATCAACTTTTTAAAATAACCTACCAATAAATACACTTCTTAATATTACTAGTGAATCACAGTAATAATTGGGATGTTACATCACTGCTATTTGAATATTATCATACTATTAGTTCTGAGTACAAGTGTAGAATTCACTTTACTTTAAAAGGAAAACACCACAGAACATAGAGAGTTAGTAAAATAATAACAGAATCTTTTGTTCTATCGCATTAAGTACAAAGTTACCTGAATTCCCCGTAGTGTAGAGATTACTAAAAGAGTTTGGCTTCTGAGAGTCACCCATTTTGCCTAGAAAGATGTTATTAAATTGAAAAATATTAGAAAATATCAGCTAATTATTTTTGAGTATTGACACTAATCAATTAAGCTGCACAACTTTGTATTAATAGAAATATTTTGATTAATTCAATGAACAGAATAATCAAAGAGTAATAACTGGAAACACTAATTTTCATTAGTCTATCATTTTTGTGACAATCAATTTAATTGTAATTTCAATTAATTGATTATTTTACAATACATTAATCTATGTAAGCGATGCTCGTGGGTGATCAGTGATAATCAATGTAATCGCTCAGCTCTACTTGCTGTCTGCATGTATTTTGAAAATGTCATTTGGACTGAATCAAAAATTCTAGAAATCTTAGAAACCTTATTATGTCCTTCTGACCTCTTCTCCTCTCTAGCAAAAACATGTCATGAGATTTCAACTTATCCCCATAGAATAACCCCTCCAAACATGCAATAATCCTGGTAGCTGAACTTTCTCCAACAACTCAACATCCTTTCTTAAATAAGGTGACAAAACAGCACTCCAAATGAGGTATGGAGTAAACCACTTGTAACATTATTCATCTGTAATGCTAACACAGAACTATGACGCAAACCACTTGTACTACTAACCAACTGTAATTTTATCCCATTTAGCACCCAACCAACTCTCAGTCCATTTCACTTACTAATATCCTGTCCTGACAGATGCGATCTTCCGAGATATTCTATCAAAAGCTTACTTAGAATCCAAGAGTTCTTGCTACTTTACTCAGGTGCAGAATTAAAATGTGAACTTCTTTTTAAAAGTCCGAACAAATCTTCAGATATTTAAATATTTCTAGCAAGTGTATGAAAAGTTTCAGACAAGATGATTCTAAAAGCTATTTATCACAAGCATTTAAAAAAAATGTCAGAGTAACCATTTGAATACTTACATAGTCTAAAACTGTAAGGTTAATTAGTGATCTCAATGTACTGACCAGCCTCAGTTTTCACTTATTATATGAAGTATCTTCAACACTGTCTAATATTTAAATTAAAACTTTTTTTTTCACTCATTGCTACATTGAAATTACTTAACTCTTTATAAAAATGTACACCCCTGACTTGTTGTTATAAAATATGCATACACCTAACTTTACTACTACAAGAAAATAAACTTTGGTAAAAATGGCTTTTGAAGAGCTGGTGAAATACTCATGTTTACACCACAGTTTTTTACAATCAAAATGTTTGTTGTAACAGTATTTAGAGACTGTTAGTGATTTAGGGCTTTTTAGGGACTGCTACTGGTATAGGACTGGTTGTTTTCATGGGCTGGTACTGCCTTGTTTGTTATTCAGAGTGGTGTTTTTGTTCAATATAATGAATCATTCAATCCATAAAGTAGAAATAATCCATTATAAAATCCTGGCAAGAGCAACAAATACATACTTACAATTACAGTCTAATGATGTTTATGTTCCTGTTTAATAGTGAATAAACTAGTATCTTCATTATACAAATGTAAAACACAAGAACACAAAAGTAAAGAAGGCATTTAATCTACTGAAGTCAGCATTTCGTTCTCCAAACATGCAACTTTCACATCTAGCAATCATTGGAACAAATTCGAACAACACATATAATATGGCAGGTCAAATTATTCAACAAATTAATAACAGTTTTTCCCAGAGAACAAGTTTGGATTTACTCCAAAAGCTGATATTTTTTACATATTTTAATTCCAAAACTCAAACAGTTCTCACATCTAAACTCCTAAAAACTTAAACATTAGAAACAAGATTCCTCTAGTTCAGTATTATTGCTTTTAAATTTGATAAGCACTTATAAGCAGTATAAACTTTCACCTGCAAAATAGTAACAGTGGCCCCTGATCCACTGGCTTCATTACAGGAAATCGTTCTCGCACTTGGGTTACTATCTTTCACAGAGTCAGAAACACTGCTGCCTATACTACTAGTAACAGTAACAATATTAACCGTTCCTTTATGTACAACCGCAAAGTGTACTTTATCATTAGACTCTTTGTATGAACAAAGATTATTATTCAAGGCAGAAGCAGTTGAGTTCATCAACCAGCTTGTCTCTTTATGATACATTTTAAGATTGCTATTACTATATTACTACTAGTAATTAATCTCATTCAATTTAAGCTACATACTACTCCAGCCATAAAGCAATCCGCTGTAATTAGTGACACCTATTGATCATTGGTATTACTAAAGTAAATGTGTATTTTGTCATAGATTTAAAAATAACAGTGCCAATTCACTTGTCTAGGCACAAAAATGCTAATTATTAATAAATAAAATATAATAAAAAAACACTATGCTCCTGAAACTTCAAACAAGGTAAGATTAGTTATATTTGAAATGTAAGTTAACTTAAATGTTTTAATGATGTCTGAATTTTGATTTTTGGAAAGAATAAAATAATGAAAAAAAGCTATTGTTTCTACATTTTTAAAGATTTATCCACGCTGAATAATACTGACGTCGTTATGTAATTTGTAATATCCTCTTAATTATAAGTTATATAAAACTAAATATAGACATTTAATGTCCCCCCCCCCCAGTAGCATAGCGGTATGTCTGCGGACTTACAACGCTAGAAATCGGGTTTCGATACACGTGGTGGGCAGAGCACATATAGCCCGTTGTGTAGCTTTTGTGCTTAACTTCAAACAAAATCATTTATTACAATACTGAAACAAAAAATGAGTTATAAAACTTTGTTTTAACACAAAACTGTTTCATGCCAATTGAAACAAATATTTGTATTTATACAGCGGCTTCAATATATAATTATTTCTAAATATATTTTTTTTACAGTTTGTCTTGATCAAACAATACAGAGCAATTATCGAGCAGTTTTAATTGTTGCCATTTTCAAAGACAAAATAATTTCCTAATTACGATCGCTCTCTTTATATCTTTATATGTTTTTAGCCGGGCATAGCGGCTCATAGATTGGCTCTAGAGTTTTTTTTCAAGTACAAACTATTATCTCACAACTTCGTCTCTTGACCAATTTGAGATCTAATTACAACCGCGGCTATTGAGTATTCCCTCTTGTACTATCTTAGGGTCAACTAAATTTTATTTCCTTGACAGATCCAGTGTAAGAAAACTGTTTGTTCCATATACCAAAGCGTTCGACTCAACTGACTTCGTACATTCTACACTTAACAACAATAAAACAATTTACCGATTTTCTTCAAAATTAGCACCCCATTGGCTCAGTATAAGTCTGAAGGCTCACACTGTTAAAAAAATGGGTTTCGATACTCGTGATGGGCATTGCATTTGATGAGCATAGCACAGATAGTCCATTATGTAACTTTGTGTTTAAGAAAAAACAAACAAACTTTAAAAACGACTTATTTAAAGTATTACATTTACAAATAAACAATGACACAAGCAACAAATAATGACAACAAGTTAATTAACAAAAACGACTGAAAAGAGATGAAATATATAAAATCAGATGTTTAGGTAAGCTTTGCAAACCTGTTGGAAAAATGTTACAAAATATCAGTCACACAACAAAAAGTTATTGAAAATAAATAAATTTCTCAATAATACTACAAGTACAGCTTTTCTCCTAGTGGGTCAGCGATAAATCTCCGGACTTACAACACTAAAATACGGGGTTCACTTTCTCGTGAAGGATAAAGCGCAGATACTCATTATGAAAGTTTATACTGAAAAAAGTAAAACAAAATAGCATTAATATTTTAACTTTATAGTTATATCTCAACAACAACTAAACATTTTTTTTAAGTCAAGAGTTTATCAGAGGCGTCGCTAGGCACTTGCACGTCCCCCCAATCTTCAGTTGATTTTTAAAAAAATCAAAATACAAAACCATGATCGATATCATACTGAAACGCCGAAAATTCACGCTCCTATGGGCCAAAGTCACGAATCTTTTATGCACCTTGTGACGCCTCTGGAATTTATCCCCCCCCTTTTTTAGAAACTCCCTATGAAAACTTTGAAAAATAAAAAGGATAACAAAAAGATATACACATATGCTGTGATTCGTGTTAAAGGGCGTTTCTTATATATTTCAAACTTAAATTATATAATTGCGTATGGTTTCCTGGTTGATCAAGTATAAGTTTGTCACTTTATAAAAATAATAGAAAGTTAAAATGTTCGTGAAGAAGCTAATGAATTGTCCAAACAAAACACACAGTGATATAAACATCTAGAGAGACAAAAAACAACAGAAAGAGATGGGAAGGGATCTGGTAAGTATCTTTTTATAGATGGTGCAATTACATTGGGAAAATATTGATGATGGGAATAAAGTCCATAACTTTAACGATTCATATTTTTGACATTAAAAAGAGATTAAGGCCGAGTGTGGCCCAATGGTTAACGCACTCGACTATGGATATGTGGGTCTAACGTTTCTTCTACTATTGCAAAAAATATATAAAAAAAAATCACGCTCCACACTTGGGTCTTGAATTAATTATAAGAATGGCGGTCTACAAAGATAAACCAAAAAGCCTTCCCTCTAGTCTATCAGACCAAAATTAAAGACGAATATAGGGACACAACCCTTTGTGTAGCTTTGCACGAACATACGAAAACGAACAAGCAAAAAAAGAGGCTCAGAGCAAAAGAAGGATGTGAAAGATTTAAATAATGGCAGTCCGTTTTATCAATAAAGTTTCTCTTATTAGAAGCAACAAATCTGTTTTGTCACTGCCTGGAATTGTGATATTTGATGTCCAGTGTTTTCTCTGTGACATCAGACTTCAGATTAGATGGACTTTAAAGGCATTAAAGATTGTTAATTATCTATGTGCAGTGAACGATGAGCACAGTGAGCGTTTCCACCAAGATATTTCTACAATGGAACAGCGATATCAAGGATTATGGAATCCTGCAATGATGGAAGATTATTATTGATTCTTAGAGCATCAAACTGAAAACATACACAAAAGGCACAACAAGTTAAGCAGATATTTTGTAACAAAAGATATAAAATAATACTATAGTCTGAATGTATTTTTAGTTTATAATCTTATTATACTCGGTGCTTTTTTAAAACTGGTATTGCTATTATGTATTGTTTTTCAATGAATAAATAAAGTTGTTATTTTAACGATATATAAGAATATTTTGAAACTAGAGGTTATCGGTAATTTTCAACACGATTTTTAGAATCAGCATCATCAAATTACTCAGAAACAATCGCACTTTGTATTGTAGCAGATAATATATTTTTCTGCTTGGTGTTATTTGTGTTTTTGTTTGCACATCTAATTACACTTACATGTGCAATGCAATAAAACAAACATAAACACAAGAAAAATATCTAGCGTTTATTTTAATGGAAATATAAAAATAATATAGTAATAAAAGGTGGAAAAAAGAAAGAAACAATAAGCAAAAAAACTAACAAATAGCACATTATTACGTTTTTAGTTAATGTTTGTTTGTTTTTGAATTTCGCGCAAAGCTACACGAGGGCTATCTGCGCTAGCTGCCCCTAACTTAGCAGTGAGAGACTAGAGGGAAGGCAGCTAGTCATCATCACCCATCGCCAACTCTTGGGCTATTCTTTTGCCAACGAATAATGTGGATTGATCGTCACATAATAACGCCCCCACGGCTAAAAGGGCGAGAATGTTTGATGGGACGGGGATTCGAACGCGCGACCCTCAGATTGCGAGTCGAGCGCCCTAACCACCTGGCCATGACGGGCCCGAATAACATGAGACGACATTCAGTCATATATCAAGGTTAAAAACTAGTGATGTAATAATTCTAAAATGTTTATCAGCTTATTCACGAGATCCAGTGTGTCTAGTGGTAAGTGTGCTGAACTATGAATCTGAAGGTCCACGGTTCGCATCCCGTTGACGGAAAATTGCATCAGGCATTTTGGGAGCCGTAGATGTGTTATAAGAGCGACAGTCATATCGCACTATTCGATTAAAGTGTCCCAAGAGTCGGCGATAAGTATTGTTGACTAACTGCCTTCCCTCTAGTCTATCAGTTCAAAGTTAGCCCTTGTGTAGATTTGCTATTATTACTTAGCGCTATTTACAATAAATGAAACATTTTAGATATTTGTTAGTTGCCTTGAACCTCTATATATATATATAACAACCAAATGCCTGTCTGTCTGTCACGCTCTGTATCTCCAGAACGGTTAATTGTAAAAAATTATATATCAAAATGCCTAATTTTTAGTCATTTAACTGATTTATGCTAACTAATTTGTGTTCACAGAGCACTATAT